GCTCACATTGATCGTCGGAAATGGTCAACCATGGTTGCCCTGAAGAGAGGAGGCCACCTCCCATCTCATCCTCATATCAATACTCCTAACACACCCCTCTACTCCTACTATCCTATCTCAGTGTGACCAGCGCTCAGGACCATTACCCTACCAAGTCCAACCTCCTATTTGAAAATAATACCTGATCTTGAGAATAATTTTCATACTTAGCAATAAAATTAGCCAGTTATAATGAGCTGAGCGACAAATTTCTCGAAGTGATAAAAAAGGCAAGGGGAAAGAAGAAAAGGACGGAGGGGGAGGGGTGCTAGTGGTCAAAGTGATAGATTGCAAAAAAAAAAAAAAAGGCAAGGGGAAAGAAGAGAAAAAACTTTAGAAACCACAAGTATGTTTAGGAAAAAGAAGAGGGGAGATCACATCCTTAGTTTTATCGCCTAAAGAATAGCCTGTGGGCTATGGCGAGGCTATTACAGGTAGAAGCAAGCGTTCGAGGCATTGTTCGCAAGGGGCTGAGATTTCATAAAAATCAAAAAGGAGGGTAGGCCAGATTAGGACAAGGGCGGCATGCATTGGATGGTGGCTTGGGAGTCGATAACAGGAGTCGGTAACAAATAATTGGTAGTCGAGGTAAGGGTGAAGAGAGACGGGCAACTTTGAGTCAAAGAAGTATATCTCTGAAATCTCAAAGACGCAATTCCTTGTAGTAGTGTATGATTAATTAGCGCATCGCCAAATTAAACCACAACTCCCCTCAGCACCCGAAAACACACGGCCCTTTGAATTTGGGCTAGGTTTTATGGAGCATCGATCACCGTTTGTAATAGGCGGGTCGAGTCCCGCAATTTGAGAGCTGCAACTTTGGCAATTTTTCGCACTCAAAAGAGTTTGGGAAAATTTTTAAAATTTTGGGGAATAGTAGATAACATGTTATTCGTTAAAATAATACATTATTTTTAAAACAGTACATTTTCATATGTACTAGTATGTGTCTGAGGATCTTATCAAACTTGCCAACTTGTATACATAATGGAGTTTCCGCATGTGAATAACAGAGATTTGATTAGGATGTATCCTCCTTTCCTTCAATCAACTATGAATGTTCGAATTAGGATGTACTCAACTTCGGTATTTGATCTTCTACAGATTTAGAGCAGCATTTTCGAAAGCAAGAGTCCCTTGGAGCCTCCGCAAGGATCTATTTCGTGTCCCTTCTAAAAGGAAGTTCAACTCGAGAGGGAGGGTTTGAACCTCCGATATGCAATGTTCACGGTGACTGTCAGAAGAAGGATGTATCCGACTTCAGTATAATACCAAATTCCAGAGAACAACATTTTCGAATGGAATAAAATGTCTTGAGTATTTATCCATACAATGATGACTTTAATACATTAATTTTGATTATGAATCCGATAGTGATTTATATTAAACATTGTACAATGCGTCAACCTTGCACACATTTGGATTACCCTAAGGTTTGGAGGGAAAATCAATTAATATGTTATCATTCCAAGAACAATAGCTTACCAAACATTTCTTAACAGTTTAACAAAAGGGCATCGGACAAAGTGAAGCGGTGAGCAGCATTAGGTAGAGATGTTATCATTTGTCGCTTGCCCGTTTCGACCCCGTAACCGACAACTTTCAACATCCCTACCAATGCTGCCCACCACTTCGCCACTACCCTCGCCGAGATCAAATGATGTTTGATTACAAATAGAAGTGTACCCTTGGCAACCCCTTACAAACTGCAGTAACTAATATTGATACAATCTCATGAGATATCCATCGATTCGACCAGCGAAAATGCAAAGCGGTGATGCGAACCACGACAGACACAGAGGGAAACATTCATGATGAAAAATACATGTGGACTCATGTCATGTTTAGAGAAAGTAATAGAACTTGAGAAGTAAGATATTCAAATCGAACATTGTGTTTAATCGAATATGTTGCACAACAGATTACAAAGAAGAGCTCAAAAATAGCACTTAAGTCCAATACATAACCACTTGACACGGCCAAACGAAAAGATATAAGAAATCTACAGATACTCGTTGAAAATCTTCATAAATGTTGATGAAGCACAAACTATAATAACCTATCACAACAATATCCCTCAATATCGGATCATGCAGTGAAACCTATGCACTTAGGTAAACGAAATATATGTGTACCACAGGGACACAACGAAACTAATCCCCACAAAAGTACGCCCTACAGCAAAGCCGAACATGTCGTACGCAAAAGCTCATTGCAGACGTACAAGTTTCACGGGATCCACAGAAGCTCATTTAAGTCGTAGAAGCTAATCAAAGCTCTAGGTGATGTTAAGGATCTAACGCAAGGCGTACACAAAAGCCTATCCAAACAGCCATGACAGACATAATCGTCGAATAGTCTCTCACGCTCTTTGTTGTTGCAATCCGAAACTTCATGCTGATCCCAAAGGCCGCGGCTTATGAATTGCAGCCAGAACATCCAGTTCGACACACGGATATCCCTTAAAGCTCGATGCAATCCGCTCCAATTATTTAACTGAAACGGATAACGGTCTCCCCACCTCAGCGAAATGTCATCATTCCCTCTGTTGCCGCAGACAAGAAACAGTTTTTCTTCTAAACATGTTGCGATGTGCAAAATAAAAGCCGACAACAAAAGCAAAATGTCGCTCACCCTGTTACACGGCATCCCGCACACAGAAGAGAGAACAATGACCTCACGGGAATCAAACCCCAGTGTGTACACACCAACAACCACGCACAACACAATTCATTACATCGAGTCAACAATGTGGTGCACAGTCTAGTACACCAATTTGCGCCCCCCATTGAGAAGATGACAAGCATCACACGTGTGAAGTGGAACCCTCCGGGCCGCTCCCGTCTCCGGAAACGCTTCGTATTTTAGCACTGCTCTCGTTATTGAGGGCAGAAGTTGCGTTCCTCCTCACTTTTATAGGAATAACTAGACCACTGTTGAATTTCTTCGTAGAATCGCAACCAGTCGTCCTTGTCTGTCTCGTCCACGAAAATGCAACGGTTATCACATGTTGATACTGTTCGTTGTGCTCCGGAGTTTTTTTCCATTTTTTCTCCCATACGTTGGTGTACAGTTTTTTTAGTGTGTTTACTTTCCCAACCGGAACCCAGTACTCCACTTGGAATTTGTTGTAATTCGGCGAACGTTTGTCCTTGTCAACAACACTGCGAACCTGGCCAACCCAGAACGGGACACCTTGAAGCATATCCTCATCTGATGGTTGCATAATGACGAAACTGTCCACATGTACGTCTTCGAAAGGATTAAAGCTAGCCTTAGGCTTGTCCTTTTGGAGACCTACGAACAGAGGTTCCCTCTGCGAGTCGGATGTATCGTGATCAGAGCAAGAACTCTCATCTTCAACAACGTGAAAGGCCTTTGGCCAGAAGTTCGTAATAGGTGTTCAAGGCACTCCGTTGTCGATAATGTCCCCTGCGTGTTTGACGTGAAACATGTTATTCATTAAAATAGTACATTATTTTCTAAATAACACTTTTGTCGTTCGAGAAACTCGAAAGGTATACACGGCTGACGAAAGAAGATGTTGATTATACATTAATACACAACAATCAGAGTCTCTGTTCAACGGATAAATCCTCAACTAAACTGGCACACATTCAGACAGTCAGTACGAAAGTAGCATATCGAAGGTTTCCCCTTGTGAGGGGCGTATATGAGTGACCCAAAAAAAGTCTTCGTTGAGTCTTTAAAGGGTGCATGGGAGTGAAAAGAATAGCTCATTTTTGAAGTTTAATTGAATACAAGCAGGATGAGTAGGATACATCCGAGTCACATGTTTCGATATAATCCATAATACACAAGTTGGCTAGTTTTATAGTAAAACTGGGATATATCCGAATCAAATATTTCATTATTCAGATGGAGAAAATCCGTTATGTTATAAACCGTGCGTCATTCATTAAATATCCTTGAAGTTCACTCAATCAAAATGATGAACTTATGAACATAGCCCGGATCACCCTCCGAGGGAAAATTAACCAATATGTTATCATTCCAAGAACAATTATAGCTTAGCAGATATTTCTTAAAACAAAAGGGCATCGGACGGAGTGAAGTGGTGGGCAGCATTATGCAGAGATGTTATCATTTGCCGCTTGCCGGGTAAAACCTCGCAACCATGAACTTGTAACATCCCTACCCAATGTTGCCCACCACTCCGCCACTCTGCTTGCCGAGATCAAATGATGTATATTAACAAACAAAAGTGCACCCTCGGGAACCTATTATATCACTTTAATAAACATTTCGCAAAACAAACGGGCATCGTACGGAGTGAAGTGGTGGAGAGCATATTATGTAGAGACGTTATCATCTGAGGATAGGGCATTGGAGAAGGCTCAAACGAATGCGCAGGATACATCCGAATCAAACTGTGTACAAATTATCAGATGTTGAAGTGACCAAGGACCTTATAATTATTTTGAAAAATCTCACTGGATTTTGAAGACAATTGACAACTCATGAGAACTAGATTGAAAAGCGAAGAAAAATTAAACACAGAGCGGGACACCCAACCTACATAAGCAGGCACACAACCATTGTCGAGACAAATGAGAAGTACGTCGTAGAAACTGATAACAGTTATCTGGTCCCAATATTGTGAATTCGTAACGATTACCTCAAAAGTTTCTATTAACCAAAGATTTGGCAAGGCTATGTCGGACCGTCCACAATCAACCAAAAAGTTTCCGTGGAAATTTCAACTAATCGGACATTCTAAACCAAAAAATTGGAATTGTCGAGATGTCTCTCTAAAAAAGCCTACACTATGAAAACATTCACAAATCCGACATCCTGACGGAACTCTAAAAACGTAAAACTCGTCACCAAAGTGTCCCGAACTTGAAATCTTCAAAAGAAGTCTCTTCGAAAAGCATTCACTAGCGGTTCCCATGTTGAACCGTGCACAATGCAAGCCGAGATAGGAGGTTGAGGCAGACCTTCGAAACCCGTAATGGAAATCGAGAAACCTTGAACGTCTCCCCCAGCCATGACAACAGCACGTCTCAAGGACACAAGAACATCTGCAGCTTGCAGATAAGGTGCTGTAAAATCCCCCAACATCCTGTTTCCCTCTTGACGCTCTTTTGTTTGGTTGTCGTAACAGTATCCTTATTCTCTGGGTCAGATGCATCCGAACCACAACCGACCATGAGCAAGGGTCGGCACTCGTGGCTTTCGTTAATACTTTACAGTGTGCAAATTTCAACTAATTTGACATTCGACCAGAAAACTTGGGAAGTGTCGAGACTCGTCTCTCAAACTGGTGAAAATTAAAAGTAATCAGAAATGACTATACTACGAAAATGTTCACAAATCCGACATAATGACACAAAATTTTAGAAACATAAGACTGGTCACCAAACGTCTTGAAAAATAGAATTCCTCAGAAGAAGCCTCTTCGCAGAGCGTTCACTATCGGTTCCCATGTCGAACCGTCCACCATGCAAGCCGGGATTGGAGGTTGAGGCACACCTTTAAACTCCATAATGGAAAACGAGAAACCCTGAATGTCACCCCCTGCTCCGAGCACAGCACGTCTCAAGGCGAAAAGAACTTCTAAAGCTTTTACATAAGCTCTTGTAAAATCTCCTCGCATCCAATTTTCCCCCCGACGCTCATATATTCGCATGTCCAAAATGTTGAGATCAGTAAACCTCACCATGATGACAAACATTGTCCCTCCTCCCGCTACGATCCTGAAGATTCTGTCATATTGAAAAGGAAACGCTCCTCCCTTTGTGATGATCGTCAGTCGTTCAGGTACTTTTATTTCAATGTAGCCCAAAATGTCAACCATGTTTTCGAAGTACGTCAGAAGAGGAAAGTCTGCACGCTGCAAAAGACAAAAGTCAAAATAAAAGCGTCACATCAAGGTCAGGACCGAAAGCCCGAGGTCATGCTACGATGACCAAAACGCCCCCACGCCCAATGTCGAAAATTGATGAAGAACTCTTGTTGATTTGAAGCCCGTAACCCAGAGAGCACAAATCATTAAGCGATGTATTCCATGGAGTCGAGCATGGTGTGCACAGGCCAGCATGGCAATATATTCTCCTCACGAAAAGACGACAATCATCACACTCTCGATGACGTAGCCTCCTGCCCGCTCCCTTCTCCGGAAATGCTTTGTGTTTGAGCACAAACGCCGTTTTCTAGGGCGGGAATTGCAGTTTTTCTTACTTTCAGAGGAATCACAAGACCGGTGGTAAACTTTTTGGAGGACTTGCAGACATTCGTCCTCGTTTGTCTCATCCAAGAAAACGCAACGGTTGTGACATGTTGATACTCTTCCTCGTGCCCTGAAGCTTTTTTCCATTTTTTTTCCCAGGCGTCGGCATACAATTCTCTTAGTGTGCTCGCTTTTCCGATTGGAACCCAGTACTCCACTTTGAATTGGTTGTAAGTTGGCAAATCTTCGTTCTTGTCAACTTCACTGCGAACCGGGCCAACCCAAAAAGGCACTCCTTGATGCATGTCCTCGTTTGACGGTTGCATAATGACAAAACTGTCGACATGCACATCTTCGAAAGGATCAAAGGTGACCTTAGGCTTGTCCCTCTGAAGACCCACGAATAGAGGTTCTCTCTGTAATTCGGGTGCATCCGAATCAGAGCAAGAACTCTTGTCTTCAACGACATGGGTGGCCTTTGGCCAAAATTCGGTGATGGGTGCCGAAGGCTTCCCATTGTCGATGACGTCCCCCGCGTGTTTGACGTGATCTTCCCAAAACCGAAAAACCCTATCTATTCTAGTCACCTCTTCGTCTCGGAAAGTCATCCAAGTTTCTCTTTTTTTTTCCATAGACTTCCAAAAACCTCTTCACACCCTCCAAACAGTTCTTGTAATCGTCGAGGAACGCCGGTTGGACTGGCAGAGGATCGAAAGGTTGCTGCTGACCAGCGTAACCACTGTTGTCTGTTTGTTTGAACCAGTAAAGAGGACCATCCTCGGACAACCACTTAGCGTCTGTGCAATACTCTTTATAGGACATGGCGGGATTATCACCTATCATGTAGAATTTCAGCAAATGAGGCTTCGAAATCCCTGTCATGCGCTTTGAAACATGCGGGTAAATAAGACCTCTCCAGTCTGCTATCCTATCAAGAAAAATACACTGCGGAGGAGTCTTATGAGACCGCTCTAGCAAAAGGAACAACTCATCCATTGTGTAGGCATCATTGTCTTTGAGTTTCTTGGAAAAAACACTGAAAGTGGCATCGACGTCTGTGTGCGTGTGTCCAACTATCATAAAACCAATATCTATTTCCTTGAAAATCCCGAACTTCACAAGAAGTGCTGCCAATGCGCAGATGAATCTATTCTTGTTTTCTTTGAAGCAGTTGTCAGCTTGAATACGAAGAAACGGCGGTAGAGGKTTCCCACTAGATTGGATCTCCGTAAGAGTCCGCATTAAACACATCGCTGTTATGCTGGGACCGTGTGTGTAGTAAGGAAAATATGTGTAAACATATATAGACGGATCCCGACCATGGACCAGAACGGCCGTGAGACCAGTCTTCATCATCCTCTCGTGGTGCAAGTCCTTCGAGTAGTTAGCCTGTCCTATATGCGTAATGGTAGTTTTCTTTTGATCCATGCCGTCAATAATGATGCACAGACACTCGGACTGCCGCAAGATGGAATCCATTTTGCAGCAACTATAGTCTAGCCAATGGTTGACTTGCGGCTCTTGATGTTTTCGCATCCTATCTTTGGATTTCTTACGGTCCCTTTCGTACTTCGACTTGGCAATGCACTGCTTGTAGAATATACATTTTGCGCACTTCGTGAATGTGTTGGACATAGCTAGACTCACGTGCCAGAACTGCTTACTCCACATAGCGTAGAAAGTCGACTCCGACACAACTTCCGAGTGGCACATCAAAAGATCAGAGCGCAATGACTCGTAAAGTGCTCGTTTTGTGAATGCCGCAGGAATCCTACGGTGAGGACGACAAACTCCGTTTTTTCAGACCATGTCATTCGGCATACTATCAGCGTGGTCGTCGATGAACCGTTTCAACAGTGCAAGCATCGTGACGACTTTTTCGGATGGTTTAGACAAGCCCGAGTGCCCATGCTCCCTAACGACAACACCGTTATCGTACATCCTTTTGTAGACATAGAATGTGTTACGAGAAATGTCGAAAATGTTACAGTACGCCTGCACGCACATCTTTCGTTTGCAAGCTACGGGCCTGACCCGCTCAACACCACCTTCCATAACCATGAAGTCATGTATGGTTTGCAACCACCACTTCGTCCTTTCCGCGAAACTTTTCGAGTAGAATGCCTCCCACACCGGCCTGACATCTTCGGCTGTCAGTTCAGCGCAACACATCCACCTACAACAGAGCATCCCTCGCACTGCCTGAAGTGATTGCATCCTGAGTTTGCCCATAGCTCGCCGATGTTGTGTCTTTTTGGCCGGTTCTCTGTTTGCCATAGAATAGGGTCTTTTTTCACCGGGCATAGGCGCCGACAAAATGTACCGTATGTGGCAGTCCTCTTCGGAGAGACAGCGCGAGCTCTGACTGTCTTGTGAATAGCAGTATTCAGTGATTTCATCCGTGGACAGTCTTTGACTCTCCTGGCACTGCGGAGGGGTAGACGAGGAAACCCTATCACCCCCATCGGCAACTCCCAAGGAAGAACCAGCAGTAGTGCAGTGGTTCGCACTATACACGTACTCCGTCCCACTATAACTACAGTTACCGAGATTCCCCTCGGGTATGGAGCTCGACATCCCAGCGTCGGTCATTTCACACCATGCTGAAGAAACTCTGGATGTACAATCGACACTAAGAAACTGACCCCCGCTTCCAGTGTTTTTGTGGTCTTCGAGCACGTCATGACAGATGTACGAATGTTCGGTGGAGGTGGACAACTGTGTTCTCTTCCGTCGATGCTGAGTGTTTGAGTCACGTGACCGTTTTCCAGAGGAAGCACATGGCTCGAGTCGGGAAGAAGTACTATCGGCACTGCTCGGAACTCCAATGCCCATAACCAATCCCTTCCCAGCCAATTCCTGCCGAAAACGTAACGGAAGGCAAGCTGGCGTGGGAGGGAATTCTTGATCAACCGTCGTCGTATCACACCAGTGAAGCATTCCACTTTTTCCTGCGAGCAGAGCAACAGACGTTGACCCAAATCGGTGCCGAGACAATTGTTGGACTTTGGCGATGATAAAGCGACAGAGATGCGTCCGCCCGTTGGGGAGCACTATAGCAGCGCAACGAAACAAAAAGACAATGCATAGCCAGCCTTGAACCGGATGACAAGCCTTCACCCTCACCGATTTCACATGTATGGTGTAGAAACGGCGGGCCCGCAAGTATGTAACATAATTTAGATTCGGATGAATCCGACGCAACGACGCAGGCAAATATCGGACTTAACATTAGACGTGCACAACCAGCCTTGAACCGGACTACAAGCCTTGCCCGTCACCGATCAGACATGCTGTAGAAATTGCGGGTGCACAAATATGTAATTGATTTTAGACTCGGATGAATCCGATACAATGATGCAGGTAAATGTTGGCAAGTCCGCATCGTCGCAGGTTCTTATGTCGGATGCATCCGAGACACTTAAATCCAGATTTAGACAATTGCAGCATACACCACGAGTGCGTCAAGTATGCAATGCCGAGCACCATCAGCACGCATACAGACGATGGAAGTGATCACGAGTCTTCCTCCTCGTAAGAAATTGACAACCTTCCCGCAATGCCAAACAGTCGGCGGTCTGTGTTGTGGGGTGGCAAAAGCATTCTTAGGGAACCTCGCGGTCTTGTTCGGAAATTGTTGGCGCAGCACCAGATGCTCACCAAACAGTTTCGAACGCCGATGTAACGGACAGATCATATGATGCCTTGCAATCAAGCAATGGTTGATAGTTGGCCCCCCTTTCCCGGTCTGGATCTTTGAGAGCAGAGTTTCGCACTCCACCGTGAGATCCATATCGGAGAAGGGGACCTGCTACCGTGTCGCTGTTAACTTTAGTCATCATAAGGGAGTCAATGACGCGGGAACCCAAAAATGAGCAATTGCGGAGGAATATCGCGGCCGCATGACAAACTTTTTGGCGTAGCATCAGATGCTCACCGACCAGTTCTGAATGTCGGTTGTATCGACACATCATATGATGTTTTATAAGCAAGCAGTGGTTGATAGTTGACCCCCTTTCCCGGTCGAGGTCTTTGAGAGTAGAGTTTCGCACTCCACCATGAGATCCATATCGGAGAAGGGGACCTGCTACCCTGCCGCTGTTAACTGTAGTCATCATAAGGGAGTCTATGACGCGAGAACTCGAAAATGAGCAATTGCGGGGGAATATCGCGGCCGCATGACGAACTTTTCGACTTAGCACCAGATGCTCACCGTGCAGTTCTGAATGTCGGTTGTGTCGACACATCATATGATGTTTTACAAGCAAGTTGTGGTTGATAGTTGGCCCCCTTTTCCGGTCTGGATCTTTGAGAGCAGAGTTTCGCACTCCACCGTGAGATCCCTTTCGGAGAAGGGGACCTGCTACCCCGCCGCTGTTAACTGTAGTCATCATAAGGGAGTCTATGACGCGAGAACCCCAAATTGAGCAATCGCGGGGGAATATTGCGGCCGCATGACGAACTTTTTGGTGTAGCACCAGATGCTCACCGACCAGTTCTGAATGTCGGTTGTATCGACACATCATATGATGTTTTACAAGCAAGCAGTGGTCGATTGCTGGCCCCACTCTCCGGTGTGGATCTTTGAGAGCAGATTTGATGCAATCCACCGTTAGACCCACATCGGAGAGGCGGACCTGCCATCATGCTGCTCTTCACAGTAATCATCATGTGGGAGTCGACAACGCGATGACCCCGCGATGTTCCAATCGGGAAGTTTTTTTTTGTTCTGTGCAGGTGCTGAACGTTCGGTGATGAGAAGGAACATGCTCGAGCGGCCCCAAACTTCGGATGGATCTGAGACACAAGACGACATGCCGGACAAGGTCGATTGCAGCGTCGGCCAACGTCGCTCAGTCATTTTCGGCCTGGCAGCGGCTATTCCACAGAGGGCTACGGACATGGCACCACATTTCATGGCATCCAATCCAAAAACCATCGTCGCTGTCGCCGGGGGTGATCACGAGCCTTCGCCGTCGCGAGAAAAAGACCCGACGATTTCGCAATCGGGACGTGCTATGCATTCTGCGCGGCTGCTTATCATCAGCCCATATGCAGCGTATTGACGCAAAGAGGAGTTTCTTTCAGCGGGTGTCCAGGGTAACAGACGACTTTTGCGGGGATGAGAATGAAAACGCTTGTGCAGCCGGCGACTTCGGATGAATCCGAGACACAAGATGTTTTGGTGGACATGCATGATTACAGCCTCGACCGTCGCGGCTCATGTCATTTTCTGCCATGCAGCGGCTGTTGCACAGAGGGCCACGGACACGGGCACCACATTTCATAGCAGTACCAGACGATCTAGAGGGCGGCGGACTGTTTGGAAGCGTCGTTTCCCTCGAAGGCGTGCAAGAACATAAACTCGATGGTCTGCAGTTATCGAGTCGCACATACAGAATCCGACGGGTTGTTGTTTGGCCAAGGATCGTCCTTGGGGAAGCCTTCACGCGTCGCCTTCAACGTTGGGTAGAACGTCACCTTCGCAAGTTGAAATGCAACAATGCAGGTGTCAACTTTAGTCGTCACGAGGGAGTCTCCTTTTCCCTTAAACACAAGGTCTGACCACACGTCCATATCTTGTGACATATGGGGTTTCCCACGGACGAGGTCGTGAACGGAAGCCATACATAGCATTCATAGATGATCCATACACATGGATCTGCGGCTTGTCGACTGTTGCTTTCTTCGAAAACACGGACATGTATTTCATCCTGACAAACCCTCTTCGTCGTGCTAAGGAATTCCCTATATTGTCACGTTTTTCAGACACTTTCTTTTCCA